CACTCACTTGCCAATCATGTAGCCCAACAGTCCAGCAATCATGATGAAAGAGACCAGTAGAATGGTCTGGAAGAAGGAGTAGGACCGCGAGGCTCGGTACGCGTTCTTGGGGGTTTCACACACAAACAACAGCTCGAACTGGGGGAGAGAGATATGTGGGAACATTTAGTTTGTTGGATTGTTTGTTTGTTATTAAGAGTAAGCTGAGAAATGATAATAATGATGATGATGGCGATGACCGAATGTTACTCAAGATTCTCTTGCCCTACACTGATTTTTGTACAACAATGATGATGAATCTGGAGATAATGAAGATGATAATGAAGATGATGACAGTAAGGTAATGATGATGGTGATGATGACGATGACGATGATGATGATGATGATGATGATGATGATGATGATGATGATGATGATGATGATGACGATGATGATGATAATGATGGTGATGGTGGTGATGGTGGTGATGATGGTGATGATGATGATAATTATGATGATGATGATGATAATAATGAGTAAGCTAAAGTAAATAAAAGACTCATACCTTTTTCAGGAAGAAGAAGAAGAAAACCTTAACAAATGTGATGGCAGGCAACAGGGGAGTAAAGAACATGCCGACCCTGCCAGGGGGAACAAACAAGAAAATAATTCGGTTAAAATCTGACGCATCTATTACGAAATCTTTACAATTATTTCATGCTATTCACAACAGAAAAAATACAAACACTGTGTATTGAAGCAACAAAGCCCTAGACACAGCATGCACAGATGCACTGAACAATACAAATATCCTTAGCTAGCAGTTCAGATGTACTAAGCTTGATATTTTAAATCAATTAAAAAATTCATATATTTTTTGCTTTTTATTTTGCAGTTTCTTAATCAATGGTATTGACTGCTTGTGCTTAAGAATGTTTTGTCGAAATTCAAAGTCTAAATGTGGAGGAAAAAAAGATGAAAGGACCACTAACTAACACACAACACACAGACAGACACATGAGATGACCATCCAGTGACACATAAACAGACACATGAGATGATGGTGACACACAGACAGACACATGAGATGACGGTGACACGTAAACAGACACACGAGATGACCACCCAGTGACACATAAACAGACACATGAGATGACGGTGACACGTAAACAGACACATGAGA